TCAGCCTATAAAGGGGTTTCTCAAAACAGAATATTAAATTATAGTATGTTATGGCATCGTATTTTTATGGTATATTATAGTATAGTATATGTAAAGTATACTATAGTATATGATAGTATTTTCTAGTATACTATAGTAGATCTTGGTATGTTATGGTATATTATGTAGAAGGCGTTCGGGACAGGAATTACCAAGAAAGCCTGAAGGTACCTCTTGAGGGAATCGCCAAGACCAAAGTTGTGCCGCCACACTGGATCCTTGTGGCAGTTTTGCGCAAAGAAACCCTAACAGGGATCCCATGATTCCTGGTCTGTTCTGGCAACCCTGCATAATTTCATCAAAGCCATGCAGCTGCCGCATCGAGCTTCTCGTGTTGAAGATTCAGAGGGTGGTGGTCCTCCCCACATACAAATTCTCGGAAACGCTTGCAACTATTCGGGGGGTCAGGGTGCGGTATGGTCTGGGGTGTCTGAGTAAGGTCTCCTTGCACAATCGATGTTGGTGTCTGGAGGTCGCCTGTTGTTTCCTTCTGAGAATTCCTGCACATTTTGGCTTGCTTACATGTATGTGTCTTCGGCAGGAGTCTTTTTGTTTAGGGTGTTTCAGGCGGCCTTTTCCCATCTCGAGAAGCATCGGGAACCCAGCCTTGACTGCATTAACGTTCACAACAGCTGGTAGAAGCTGGGCGGGAAGGGAAAGCTCTCCACCCTTAGGTCATGTAGCAGAATCCCGAAGGGCTGAGCCCTTAACCCTATGGACCTCAACTTGCAACTGTTTTGGTGGACTTCTCGCATGACACCATGCCGTTCTAAAATACTATAGTAACTATTACAATCATTACGAGTTATTACTATTAGCGCCGTTAGTGGTATTAGTATTGTTATTATTGTTACTGTTATTAGATGTTATTAAATGTTATTAAATGTTATCAACTGTTTTTATTGCTACTATTATTCTGTATAGTTGTGCAAGAAGCAAAACTCTTAACTGCCAGGCAGGGGACTGCGCTCAAAACATCGGCTGCTTGCTTTCGGCTTGCGAAGATTTCCGAAGGGCTGGGTCTAAGCTTTCGGAATTTTGTTCAGATTTTGAGTATTTTGAATGGGAACATAAGGAAGGGACGCGTCTTCTGGCTACCGCGAGTTCTCAAGCATAATGCTCAAATCAAGGGTTTGGGGGTCTGTCGAGCATAAACTGTTCAGCATTTTGGGGCCTGCTAACGTATATGGTAGTTTCCCAAAATAAGGGGACCCCAACATAGACCCCCAAAATATTATAGTCCTTATTATAGGGACCCCCAAAATGGTACCCCTAATTTTGGGAAACCCCCATATGTTGCCCGTTATGCGCATGGACTCCCTCTGGGCTTTATCATGTGTACTACTCTGTTTATGGGAGCATGACGTTGCCATTTGTGTCTCTGTTTCCGTGTTGTCTTACTGGGGGTTTAGTAGGGAATATAATCCCTACACAATCTAATCCCTATATAATCCCTAGTCTTTAAAATCCCTCTATAATGATTTCCCTCATTCCTTACTAGCCACCAGTAAGCTTATATGTGAAGGGGAAGATGCGTGGTGAGCTATGCGTTGTGGCGGGCGAGCCGAACCCCGTGTGCCAAAAGCACCTACTTCACCAACAGTCTTGCATGCTTGTTGAGCTGATCGAATCTTTTCAGCCCAGCATGAAAGAACCAACAATCACATATGTGCTGCAGATCGTAACCCTTGCCAGGAACATGTTGCTGAGCCTTGCGGTCTCAAGCTCAGGACCTGGACGTCCGGATGACTTTCCAACAGTTCTCAGTCCATGGACAAGAAAGGCCTCTCGGATCCTCTCGGTTTCGCCAAGCCCAAATGTTCAACTTTCCATATAACCCCTGTATACTACAGTAGCTTCTACTTTCTTTTCCATTATCTCAATGTAACCCCCAATATTACCCCAATAAAAACAACGACCTCACCCCATCTCACCTAAACGGTTGTTTTTGCAGGAAGTAGTTGTTGGGGCAGTAGCGCTGCTGAAGCCTCGGGCCGAGAGAGCGTGCACAATGACAATGATGATGGTGGTGGCGATGATTGTGTTAATTGGGCTTCTTTTCAGGTCCCGAAATTGTTGTAAAACAGTTTGCCAGAAATGAGCAGCTGCATGTTTCCACTAGATTCAAAAATCGCGGTGCTTTGAGTTTTCGCTATACGCAATTCCGACATCCAGACGTTTGCTTTGTGAGTGAATGCAGGGCCAGGTTGGATCTGTTTGAGACGTTTTGAGACTCTGTTGGAAGTATTGCGTGCATACTAGGCAGCTGCGCTACCTCCGGGCAATAGCTGCAGCCCCTGGAAGGCGTTTCAAGGCAGTGGCTATTTGTGAGTGACTGGGTAGTTGGGAGGGATGGGTCCAGTTTCACTTATGCGTCACTCGGGACCAACCCCTGGAAGCCTCGCAGGTGCTTAAAACCATCGTGGCCCGACTTCCGGTCTTACGACTTTGCTTCGACGAGCGCTTGGAGGCACTTCTGCTTTCAGTCTGCCAAGAAGTTTCGCTAGCCCGCTAGCAGGCGATGCAAAATCTGGAGTGCTCTGAAGGGCAGTAATTTTTGATTGTGATTTCGATTTTCTGGGCTTCTCGCCTTAATGACTGTTGCGCGTCAAGCTACGAGAGGTGGACCTCACCATGGGCGAAGGTGCCGAGGCGTTTGGCAAGCATTGCACATCTCTTCAGTGTGTTTGTGACTAAAGTAGTGTCTTTTCAGCTGAGGTTTGTGACATCTTTCCCGGTTAGTTGCTAAACATCTTCCTCAGTAACTCTATATGTTCACTATATACTGCCACCCTGAAAATACATCCCTGATATTATCCCAATATAACCCCAATGTTAGCCCTAATATATCCCTAATATAACCCTAATATTACCCCAATATGATGCTTCTGTGAGGAGGGGCCGTGTATTGACCGATGGGTGGAGAAGCTGCTCTCAGCGAATGGACCCGCATCCCGGCCGAAAGCAGGTTTAGGGCTTAGGGTTTAGCAAAAAGGGTTGGGGGGTTTAGGGTTCAGGGCTTTAGGGGTTGAGGGTTTAGGGTTTAGGGGTCTGTGCGTTTGGAGAGAAATGGGGTTTGATATGGGTACAACAGCTTATAGCAGGGTGATACAGGAAAAATGTCCATGGTGACCAACTGAAACTTCCAGCAGCCGGCTGCGATTGAGCCTAGATTGTGCAACACCTTTCGTGCTCGCCACAAGACTGCGAAAGACTCAGACTTCATCTTTTGCCACGCAAAGTTGCAATATTCCTGAGGAGCCTGCGCACTTCGTTCGCCTGGTGACACTTTGGCTTGCAGTACTCGCTTATTGCAGTATCACTTGCGGCTTGCGTGTGTTTGAAGGGGCATGACAGTAGCAGCTTGCCTTTCCACTGCCGAGCTACTCAAATTTAGGGACCACCCGCGCTATCAATCAATCTGAGGAAAGCCTTCTCCAAAAAGCAAGGCCTCGTGGATGCGTATGGAGGCCTCCTCAACTCGACGTGACTCATCTAAAGCTTTTGTGCCCTTTGACCAAGCCTCGTATTGCTGGCAGCAGCAATTTTCGCGCAGCCCTGGGATCGGGAATTGTTCTGAGAGTGGAGCGCGGTGGCGGATCTGGACCGTCTGAGGCCATGGCAGTTCATACTTCATACTATACTACTGGAAGGCCTGTGCCCTCTCATGAGGTCTTGGACGTGCATTGCGCTGTGCTTCTTGCAACTGGACGGGTATCTGCCACCGGGAAGTCAAACGGAGGACTCTGCTGGCACTACCAGCACTACGGCGGATGGGCACATTGGCTAGCAGGGTCCCGGACCCCTTTTAATGTTGTTGTGAGAAGCTTGTTTTTGCGGGTTGTTCCAATGACAAATCTTGCACGGCCCCATTGTTACAGTAGTAATCAACATGATTGTGAGAAACGTTCTTGGGAAAACACAATGATTAGCATCTTGTACCCCATGTCAGTAGTGTCAAGCAGACCCGATGATGACCAATCCCGGAAGCCCCTTAGATTCTTAGATGCCCTCAGCTGAAGAATTCAACAACACGGTTTCCCCTAATTCATCCTTGTACAGCACTTGGGGGTTTCCCAAAATTAGGGGTACCTTTTTGGGGGTCCCCATAATAAGGACTATAGGATTTGGGGGTCTATATTGGGGTCCCCCAATTTTGGAAAACTATTATTTGGAGCAAGATTATTGCGGTTTTCCTGGGTGCGGGGCTTGCGCTGTGGGAAGGGATTGCCTTAAACAGCGCTTTCCTTGAAGACGGCGTTGGAAGCATCCTCAGTGGTTGTGCGCCCGGCCATGTCACTGTTACTATCATTGTTTCATGTATTATTAGTTAGGAGGACCCCCCACCCTGTAATAGTGGTATAGTAAGAATATAATGGGACCCTAATATAATCCCTATTATCCCCTATAGTCACTATTACTGGTGAGGGGTCCACCTAAATTATTAGTGTTACCATTTCCTCGCGTTAACTATTGCTACAAGGGTTACGATTGCCAATACGCGTATTGCTTTGCCGTCGGCGTGGAGTGGAGGAATGTCCCTATAGCACTATAGAAGTCCTTACCAAATGCCCGGCAATACTTCCCACATTCCTTTGCTTCACCCCATATTAACCACCTTCCCCACATCCTATACCCCCTACACTTTACCCTACACCTACACCCTAACCCCCATATACACCCCTAAACCCAAAACCCTAAATGGTAGTTTCTCAAAATAGGGGGACCCTAATATAGACCCCAATGCACTATACTCCTTGTTATGGGGACCCCCAAAATGGTACCCCTAATTCTGGGGAAACCCTAGCCCTAAACCCTAGACGGTCGCTTCCATTTTCTTTTCCATTATCCCTATATCACAATTAGCCCTATAAGCCCCCTAAACCCTAAACCGTGTGTACCCCTAACTTTGGTAAATCCCTAAATCTGAGCTTTGTCAGGAGCCCCGGCAGCTCTGGCAGATGCGCCTTACCGTTGCCCTCCTCGTGAGGTGCTGATGGACCCAAGCAATATTAGGGGTAAATTGGGGCTACATGGGGATAATGGAAAAGAAAATGGAAACGACGATCATGGGTTATATAGGGTTTAGGGTTCAGGGTTTAGGGTGGAAGGTTTAGGGTTGTTTCGGGTGAAGGGTTGTTGAGGGCTTAGGGGGGGGGTTCTTCAAGGGGCCCTTGGACCCTGGCATATACAGGGGTTTCATAGATGGTCTGGTGTTTTTTGTGGAGCCTTGCTAGCTCTTAGGGACCGGATTATAATAGGGAGCCATCCAGGGGACCACCGTCTCGACAAACCATATAGGGCTTGCAGAAGGATTGTGGGGGTCCTGTTGAGGGAAGAGGTTTGGCTTGAAAGCAGCTGTTGCATCAGGCAGCCCTTTTCGCCGAGTGCCTAGCGCTAGCTTGAGTCCACAATCATTCGCGACCGGTTGCAAACGGCTCCGACTAGACCACCAGGCCCATGATGTCGGAGTCGCGGTCTCCGTATGTGCGGTCATTTTGGAATGGCGTGTCCAAAGTGTCAACAGTCATCAGGCATAGTGACTGGCCTCCTCGGGGTCGTGATCCTCATAGCCATCGTTTTTTTGACAGTTGTATCTTCGTTGAATGTCAAGACTGCCAGCAGTCAACAGGGAGCGTTGGAGATTGCGATTATCGCAACCATGGTCATGTGTTGACTCACGTGCCTTCATCGCGCATAGCAGCTGCCAGCGCTGACCTATGCGTGGGTTGGCATCTTTTGCAGGGTCAGAGTAGAGCCCGCCCTATATAACTCCTGTAAAGCCTATATATAAACATATATCCCTATATAACCCCTGAGGTTCTTCCAGTTTGTGCAGGGCTGCCCCTTGGCTGCAAGATCTTTGTGAGGCCTGTCTGAAGTTATTTGGTAGCTTCCAAAAACAGGGGAACCTCAAAACTCCCCAATCCTCAAAACTCCCCAATACAGAACCTAATATATCATAATCCTTATTCTGGGCCCAATTTTGGCAAAACTGCCCATTTCTGTGCTTTTGAGGTAGCCAGGGCCGCGTCTCCATCTCGGCTGGGGCGTTGCGCCGACGTCTTCGAAGCGGGAGGGAAGGGAATGGCTTTTAGGGCTTAGGGTTTAGGGTGCCTCCAAAGTTCGTCATTGTATTTCTTGTAGTTTCCTTAAATAGGGGACCAATACAGGCCCCTAAATACTATGAGTCTTATTATAAGGACCCCAAAATGGTACCCCTTGTTTTGGGGAACACTCTTTGGAATTTCAGACATCATCCCCGCATAGCTGGAGAGGTTGCTTAACAAGTGGTATGAACTGTCATGCATGCTCCGCACATGAGAAAAAGCACTTCACCTTGCCCTGGGCAGCTTGGAGCGGTGGCATACCTCCTCCACTCTACGTGGAGCACCCAGAAAAGGAGCCGTGCGCCAGGCGATGTTAATAACATGGTATTGGCAGTTAGCCCCTTCAAGATGCCACAATGACACCAACCCCAATATTGACACCAAAATATTGTAATCCTTTTTACGGGGACCCCCCAAAATGTATTCTAGAAGCAATGATCCAGGTGTTTCGTGAAGCAAAAAGCATCGGGATCCGCAGGACGGCTTCAACATCGCAGCTGCTCTCACCGCCGAGGCATTGTGCTTGGCAGATTTACTGCCTGCGGATTGTCTGCGGAATGCGTGGCGAGTGGAAGAGTGAAAACATGATGTCATTTGAGCTAAAGTCTAAACTCCTAGTATCCGTTTTATCCCCTTAATAAGCCCTATAACAGTCCCCTATATAATCCCCCGTATAACCCCCTTTTAAGGAGTTTAGATTGTAGCTCATTCTGAGATTTTGCTTCAGGGCTGGACGAAAATCATCCGGCGCTGCGGATGGGCAAGGCCAGGACAAACCCTGAGCATCTCATCACACCATTCGGACGGCCAATGGCATGCCAAAACCCTTGGTAGCACTCAACCTGGTGCTTAGGAGGGAATGGGAGAATGGATTATAGGGAATATCGTTAGGGATTGCATCGGGACTACAAAAGGGATCCATTCCCCCATTCCCTCCTAAGCACTACGAAGTCAAGCCTAAAAGAAAGTTCAGATTGCTTCATGAGAAAGTGTGCAGGAAGCAGCTTATGCCGACCAGAAGGTCCGTAGAACTTCGACAAGTGTTGCGCCCGGCTGCAGGGGCTGGCGACACTTGCATGTGATGTGCTTGGGAGCGTAGTTCAGAATTCAGGACAGTCGAATCTGGTGTCGCGTCCAGCATGCTGAGCTGATGAGGCTGTGCAGCTGGTTTTCGGATCCTGAGGGCTTGGCCCAGCAGCTCCATGCTACCGTGCGCATCCGCAATAGCAAGACCAAAATCGCTGAACTTCTGCATGCTCTGTTGCTGCAGCTTTACTGGAAAGTGTATGTACTAGTGCCAAAGTAAGCAAAGGTACCTGGCATGCTGCATCCTGTAAACCTACATGTCGCCCCGATTTGCAGATTGGTGCTGGTTACTAGTGCGGCAAGTCTCCTTTATGAGAGCTGTTCAGAGCAGGTGAACTTGGCAAGGGTTTTGGCTGACAAGGCTCTTGGATTCTGCAACTTGCGCGGAGAGACGGCATGGCAACCTGTGCTTCGGTGGTGCTGGCACTGGTGTGCGTCAGTGTCTCTGCTGCACCGTCCGGGCTTCGTGCAGGCACAGGGCCCAACAGCACCACCACCAGCTCAGAGCGGTCAATCCTTGCAGCCTCCAGATGGCAACATCCGGGCTGCTGCAACGGTTGCGGTACCGACTTCTGTTCACCCAGCAGTGGCACGTGCTATGACCGAAAGGGCAAGTACTACTACTTGGAATGCAGAAGCGATAAGAACGGAAGCAGCAACAGCACTGGCACTGGCACTGGCACTGGCAACAGCTACGCCAATTACGCCTATGCCGGTCGTGGAGGATGCACTGGGCAGTCCTCCAAAATATCCCATTTTGCGGTAAATTCCTCCAGCCAATGCCGTGATGCTTGTCAGGGCAACTCCACCTGCAGGGTTTTCATCTACAGGGGAGGCTGGACCCGATGTGGTCTCGGTGCTTCTTGCCAACTATACAGCAGTTGCGAGCCTGAGGAGAACATTTGTTGGGAGAAGTACGTCCGTGACTGAGGCTCCAGCCTTGCATCGCTAGTTTTGGGGGCAACAGATGTGCACAACGCACTCCGATGCCGAGCTTTGTACAGAATTTTGAGAGGCATCAGCTAAGCTTGATAAGCTTTTACAGAAAATCTGTTGACCAGGGAAGATCAGTGCAGAGGCACTGGTTAACCTTCAATGAGAAAAAATCAAGCTGATAACAAGACATCAATATCTAGAAGAAATGATTGCCAGACTAATTTCATAAAATAAGACGGAAATTATAGGAAATTGAATAATGACCGTAGATTCTACGATCCCCTCAACAGAGATGATACGAGGCATCTATCTATTTCATTTATTTCCGGGCACCAAATTATTTGTTTACCGCAACTTCTTTATTTCTCGAATCTCATCAATTTAGCCTCGCTTCTAAATCGACCCTAATGCCCAAAGATAGAATCTATCCGAAGAAATTATCTTTGGAGCTACAGAAAAAACGCTATATGAAGGCCTAATATTATAGGACGGTATCTCATTAAGAAAATCTATGAAAATCCATAATATCAAATCTTAATCCTTGGCCTCAGAAGAAATTCTGATTTATATAAACCAAGGCATGATCTTCGGACGTATTTTTTTTTTCATAAAGAATTCAGATAAAAGAGATATTTGAAGAAGAGATTATTCGTCATTCGAATCTCGACAAGGCAAAATAGAATTGATTCCCGAACATCTTTGAGTCCGGGAGCCGAAATAATAATATTCTTGGACCTAAAATATTGAAAATAGATATCGTTCCCAAACGCGCAATGCCCTGCAATCTTAATTTTTTTTTTTTTCATTCAGAAATTTAGATATTTTTCATTTCAGAATTTTATAAAATTCCTAATATTATTCTATTGATTTTCTATCCTATAATAATAGAATTAAGCTGATTCCGCTACCTACAACAACGCAAAATATTTGCGTGAATATTCATATAACGAGACGCCCGATGACGATCAAGATATATATTGAATAAATATTATAAAAGAAGAGACGTAATAAAATCGAGCAGACTATAATTTCTGAAAGATTTTAGATCTCTCCATTAGATATATTCTATCGAAATTATATAAATAAAAAATACATAATTCGAAATCTCAGGAGATCTTTTGCCGCGCAACCCCCCGCATCCGGCCCGGACCTTCGTCCCGCTTGCTTCATTTATCTCTCTAGAATATTTGCCTAACGGTTCCAGAGAACGCATATATCCTCATAGATAGATATATTTAATCTATAAATTCTGAAAGATTTTGGTTCTACGTCTGGCAATTATGCGTCCTGCCGAGTAGCCGCGCAGATAATCAAATAGAGATTAAATCGCTCATGAAATCCGGAAGGGTTTTGGTCGCGCGTGCAACCCCCCGTATCCAGCCCGTTCTTTCCGCCTCATTTATCTCTTAGATTATCTATACAGCGATTCGGAAGAGGATCTAGGCGCTGCTCGAATAGCCGTCCAGATAATCAAAGAGAGAAATTACATAGATCAAATAAGATCGTATGAGAAGACCGGCTCAGAAGAACGCATAAATCTCCGTAAATAGACGCGACAAGAAAGAGATAAATTAGACGAAAACTCGCTCCTGAGATAAAGGCTACAATTATTTTCCTGAATTTTTAAATAATGAGATTTCTTTCTTCTCATTAGATGAATTTATTTTTTTTTCTCTTTTAAAATTTTGTTTTTAATTAATAATATTCGAATAATTAATTTAATTAATTATGTATTTTTTTATTGAAATAATCATTCTCGTATTTTATCGATCTCCAAAATATACGAAATATTCCCAATATATCTATATCATAATATTAAGGTATAATCTCTAAATTTAATTTTCATAAATTCATATAGAATAAATCAAGAAGAATTATATTTATTACGCAAAATGCATAATAAATATCCAAAATCATAATATCAATAAATTGAGAAATCGAAATAAAATCGCCAAAATATAAATATTCTATAATATTTTTAGATTACGTAATAATTATAATAAAATCAATAAATAGATAAATCTCATAATCTCGACGACTATTTCAATAGAAAATAAACGATCAATTAGATAAATTGATCATTCAATTATTAGCAATCAATAATGAAATCTTATAGAGAGCAGATCTTCAATTCCGTCCGAAAGAAATCTCATTATTCAAGAATTCCGAAGAATAATCTAATTAGATATCTCCACGATCGTTTGAAGGAATGAGAATCATAAGAAGAGTCGGCACCCGCCTTCAAGTCATCAAACCCCGCCGCCGCGCGCCACGAATTAGAGAAGACAGACGCCGAACGAAGAAAAATGACAACGCAGAAACGGACCTTCAAACGAAATGAAGAATTGACGAGAAAACACGAATATCTAGCCTATCGAAACTAGCAGATCTACAAATCATCAGAAAGACAAATCAAAATCCCCGGAGACTATAAACCCGAACCCTACCTACTTAACTCGACTAACAGATCTACGCACATCCTCGGTGGCGGCTGCTACAGAAATGAAGCGGAGAAGAGAGGAAAAATCCGACCAAAACGAGTCCATACGAAGCAAACTTTAATAGGCAACCAGAAAATTAAGCCCCGCGCGAACAACAAGGCCCCAAGTGAGCGTGCCATTTTCTTGAGGCACATTTCTCAAGAGATGTCCTCCTGCTATCTAGCTCAAGAAATTCCCATTTACTGAACTTTCAAAAATACAAAACTTTCAGATGTTCCTAATTCATCTGCCAAAAAAATCGGATGAATATTTTTATGATATCTTCTTATTCAAAATATCCAAAACAAAACATCCGCATTCTATCGCATATTATATATGTAGATATATATAGATATACACACACTGAATAATCGATAATCCTGGCCCTTCCATTCGAATAATTGCTGGCACGGGAATCTAGGACTTTTGCCATAGTTGCTCTCGGTGGTGCCCCATAGTACGCATCTTCCGAACCTCCGTCGAGCTATAGTCTAAACTCCTTAAGGGGGGATTATAGCGGGGACTACTATAGGGGTTATTAAGGGGGATAAATGGAGTTTAGACTATAACAGCTCAACTCATCTTCTGGTCTTTTCCACGCATGGAATGTTTTTGAAGTCAAATTGCCAATGTTGCTACGCCATGGCCACTACTGAAGCATGTCTTCTATAGCCCTGCGCCCAACATCACGGACTGTAGCCAACAATCTGCATCTACACACATTTGCTTTCAAGGCCCCTCGGCATTGAAGTGAAGGAGGCAATAAGAACAATAAGAAGAATACTAGCAAGAAAGATATTATACAACCCTAAGCCAAGGCTCAGGATATTTGAAATGTCTGCAGTACGTCTCTGGGCTTGGAGAGCTGCTTTCAGGGGGCCCGGAAGTGGCCAGTTTTTCCTTTTTTAAGGTGTCTCTTTTACTCCCTGCCAATTCAAGGGTAGGTTTAGGGCTTAGGTCAATCAAGAAAAACAAACTCCAGAGGACACCATTGAGGGATGGAAAGACATGAGCTACCCGAGCAGCGCCCACCATAATATACGATACTCCCATCCTACTTTTGACACTATACCAGCGCACGGTAAGCCCCGCACCCCAAAAGCCCCAAAGCCCTGAACCCAAAACCTGAAACTCTAAACCAACACCTTGACACTCTAAGCTCGGAACTCCAAACAACTAAAGCGTGGACACAATTCCTGGGCGCTTCGATGCAGAGCCTACTTGGAAAACCCAAAGGGAATGACAACCCTGTGTGAAAACATACAGATGTGTACAACGCAAGATGGCTAGCATGCACTCAGAGGCCATGGCGAGAGGATCGTGAACCAGATTGAGAAGCACAAGCCTTCACAGGACATCACGACAGCAGAAGCCAACTCCAAGCTACGCAGTTCGGAAACGAAGCCTTGGCGATCGGAGTTGTTACAATACTTGCTGCCCTGACCTGTTGAGTAGTTAGGAAGATTGACTGAAATTGTTGCCACTGCCGTCAGCTCATGAAATTATCTGTCACTGCTCTCCGACTGCTGGGCAAGAATGAAAAACAGATGCGATGCTGCAGCCGACGGTTTTCACCTCATCGCGGACGATGCGCCTCCTGCTCTAGAAGCCCTCAGAGTTTTGAACCATAGCCACAGTCAACTGATTTCCTCATGTACTTCTGAAAGGGGTTACAGACATGGGCCCTCTCGGGACAGGAATTAAAGCGGAGTTTTTTCAATTCAAATGGCCAACTGGGCTGACCCTCGCGAGAAGAAAGCTTCAAGCCGAGCAGGTTAGACATCCTACACGCAGCATGCGGATGGCTCATCCACTCCGGGTAAGTGGGAGTTGCGACGAATTTGATCCGAAGTTTTGCAAGCCTAGGTGTGCGATCCAGAATGTTGGTTACCTCGGACGAGCTTGTCACCTCAACTCCCAGATAAAGCCAGCCCCTGCTGCCCCGAGAGCATTCTGCCAGACTCTACGCCTTCGACAAATTCATGTGCTGAAGTTGCTGAACGATGCTGCGCACCCTGGGAAATTTTGTCTTCATGTCATTGTTCTTTCTTACCAGTTGAGTCTCCATTGGCATCTGGGATCCGCTTAAGGACCAGTTTGCGGTCACGCATGCGAGAAAGGCGCTTCAAATGACAGAGCAGCCAGAGGAGGCTGCAAAAGCAGACTGCTTTTGTAGCCTCCTCTGGCTGCTCTGTCGTGCGAAGCGCCTTTCTCGCAGACCGCGAATAGGTCCTTCAGCGGATCCCAAACGCCATCGGACGCCAGGATAAGAAAGTCGACCTCGTCGTCCACCGCAATCTTGAAGACGTCGGGCTCACTGATGATGCCCTCGACTTTCTTGCCGCTGTCGTAGTGGATGTTCCCCAACGCACGGGAGACGGCTACGTGATCTCCAACGTAGCCGCCGTTCACCTGAACCACGAGGGTCCGAAGCCGTTCGGCTTCAGCTTCATTCTTCTCTGGCGCATGGTCCTTGGAGACTGCGTGCGCCTTGGTGCCACCCGTGCAGAGAACGGCGCGGCAATCGCCGAGATTGCACACCCATAGGTCTTTGCCCTTGAGCAGTGCCATGCATGCGGCTGTGCCGGACGAAATCTTCACCTTCGCGGGCGTGTCAGCTGCGGCCAAGAGCGTCTACGTGAGCTCTTCGTCAATCTTCCTGAAGGCCAGGCAGATAGCCTTTTCCACATCATCCTCTTCCTCAAGATGAGTTTCCAGGATGCGGGGCAGGATCTTCTTGACGACCGTTACTGCTTCATCGCCTGCATGACCGTCGTAGACGGTGAACACTCTGAAGCCCGCAACATCGTCCTTGATATCTATGGCATCCTCCATGCGGCGGCGCTCATTCTTAGCGACCGCCCACCCGAAGTCCGTGCCGCCAGCGCTGCCTTCTTCTGGCAGCGAGGGGGCTTCCTTACTCTGCTGAGGCATGGGCATGTGCCGAACTGGCTGAGCAGCCACCACATGGCTGCAGGTCTGGAAGCAAAAGCCTGGCCGCTCGGTAGCTAGCAGCCTTTGCGCAGTATTTGCGATTGCCGCGGCTTGATCTGAAACCTGAAGTTGAGATTTCAACCTGCAAAGTCTGCAGAATTTCATCGCGGGATCAGGAAATGGAGGGCGTAGAATTGTGCGCAAAGTCTGCGCATCTCATGCAACATGGGGGTCTATGTTGGGGTCCTCTATTATGGAATGCATCAGGAAATATCAAGAATCGGGGGTCCCAAGAGACTTCCAGGTGAACCTTCACATTCCAGAAGGGGTGATTCCACCTCCCCGGCCATCGGCTTCATCGCCACATCACAGCAAACCCTAAACCCTGTTTATACATGATAAGACACTATAACCCTGCCAAACCCCATCTTATTCCAATATAATCTATACTCTTGCAGACCTTCAAAATTGGTCTCCAGCCTGGGTCTGGTCCTCAGAAGCTTTGCGAAGCTCCTCGTTGGATGCGCGTCGCTCCACCTGTGGCCTTGGAGGTTTGCAAGGGCCAACTTGATGGCACTGGACAAACTGTAGCGGCCGAAGAAATTGCCTATATAATTTCGAGGTCTACTTCAAGTCCCCATATCGCCTTTTTCTAGAAGAATCTAGAACGATGATAGCGGCAGTTATTGTTGTTTTACTAGGAGCCCTCTTCGATTCCTTGAGCTGCTTGCTTACTTTTTCAGCCTCGCCATGTAACGGAGAAACTTACTGGTGGCTAGTTGGGAATGTAGGGATGGTTTAGAGGAGGGGGCCATAGGGATCCGATTCGGCATTCCCTACCGACCATCTGCACTTCAAGAGGCAGCAAGCCCCAAAGATCGGAACTGTAAATCCCAAAGTCTGAACTAGAACGTCCAGCAGCTGCCACAATTCCCACATGAAACGCAGCGGAAGAGCATAGTGAAATGAAAATATGTGCTGGTTGCTGGAAAGGGGCGGCTTTTCTGATCATCATCATCATCATCAATGCTATCATTGCTGTTGTATACTTGCCACCACCACCGCCGCCGCCACCACAATACATCGGCATCATGAGGGGACTTGCTCATGCATTCTGAGTTCTCCGGCGCTGTTGCCTTGTGGCTTCCGTGCGCGTGAGCGCAGTAGGCCCAGCGTGGCCAAACAGCCTGCGCAGGACAAAGCAGAGGGAATCAACTACCAACAGAGATCGTGTCAGGCTGCAACGTCTTGTGCCGTTTGCTGCTGTGGAGTTGATGAGGACATATAAGGAGTGCCATTGCCGATCATGACGCATGAGGCCTCAATCAGCAGCAGCGAGAAAGCTGAGCTTACACTAGGCTTCAAATAAACGCCATTCGCTGGCTGTCAGAAAAATGGGATATCATGTCATAGAACGCCGTGCAGTCGCCATGCTTGAAACGGGGAGTTTGTATGGGGTATTCGATGTGGCAGCTCAGACCTTCAGGGCTGTGCGCATGACAACCACCATGATGGGACCACATGCTATGAAGAACTCCGAAGTCGGCACTTGGCATAAGCAACCTGGAGAGGGATGCTAATGCAAGCGCCTAGTCGCTTCGTAGCTGGGAGGCTCTCAGAACATGAAGAGCAAGCGATATCACAACTCATCTTGCGCTGCTCTCTTCAGCGAATCCTTTTCAAACGACTCGCTTCAAAGTCCTCTTCAGAATCAATGCCAGGTGCATCTAATTGGATGTCCATCTCGGACCTACGGCGGAGGCCCGTCCAAGCCTGCAAGAGTCGCACGTGGCCTCGTAATGCGCTTCGGCAAGGGCTCTGGAAATTTAAAAACCACAACAATGGCGGCAGCATTGTCACCTGCACTGACCTTGGCCGCATTTTCGACGACGGCTTTCGCAGCATCTTCTGGCTGCTCAGTGGTTCGTAGAGCTTTTCTTGCGTGCGTGACAGCGAATTGGTCCTTAAGCGGATCCCAGATGCCATCGGACGCCAGGATGAGAAAGTCGACCTCGTCATCCACCTCAATCTTAAAGACGTCGGGCTCACAAATGATGCCCGCGACCTTCTGGCCGCTCTCATACTCGACATTGCCAAACGCACGTGAGACAGCCACGTGATCTCCCACGTAGCCGCCGTTCACCTCAACCCCCAGGGTCCGAAGCCGTCCGGCTTCAGCTGCATTCTTGTCTGGCGCATGGTCCTTGGAGACTGCGTGCGCCTTGGTGCCACCCGTGCAGAGAACGGCGCGGCAATCGCCGAGGTTGCACACCCATAGGTCTTTGCCCTTGAGCAGCGCCATGCATGCGACTGTGCCGGACGAAGTCTTCACCTTCATGGGCGTGTCAGCTGCGGCCAAGAGCGTTTTTGTAAGTTCTTCGTCTATGCGCCTGAAGGCCAGGCAGATAGCCTTTTCCACATCATCCTCTTCCTCAAGATGTGTTTCCAGGATGCGGGGCAGGATCTTCTTGACGACCGTTACTGCTTCGTCGCCTGCATGACCGTCGTAGACGGTGAACACTCTAAAGCCCGCCACATCCTCCTTCACATCGACGGCGTCCTCCATGCGGCGGCGCTCATTCTTAGCGACCGCCCAGCCGAAGTCAGCGCCGCCACCGCTGCCCTCTTCTGGCAGCGAGGGGGCTTCCTTGCCCCTGCTGAGGCATGGGCAAGTCGTGAACTGACTGAGCAGCCACCACATGGCTGCAGGTGCGGAAGCAACTGCCCGGCCGCTCTGTAGCGAGCAGCCCTCGCGCAGTATTATGCAGTATTTGCGTTTGCGGGGGCTTGAGCTGAAACCTGAAGTTGGGCTGCCGGCACTGAATCCAACATTTCAACATGCGACGTCTGTAGAATTTCATGCCGAGATTCAGGACTTAGAGTTATAGACTTGCGCGTTGTCGCACACATCACTACCTTTTTCTTGGTGTCAACACAAAGTTATACAGGGGTTATACAGGCTTTCCATAGTGGTCACCGAGGAAGTATGTCCGGAGGTTATAAGCCACGTAAGCAAGGATCGCAAACATGATCTTTGCAGCGGAAATGATGATCATGATGATTGATTGTGCTGATAGTGGTGATGCGGAAAGTCATCACAGCAATGGCTATCACCAATATACACCATGAACTTGTCAATGAATACAGACGAAGAACAGGAGCTGGCAAAACCCCCACGCCGAACTTACTGTTACTTAGGTAGGGAATAAGGGAACATAATCCTCACATAGTATTTTCCCTTATTCCCTACGAAGCCCCAGTAAGCAAACAGATCCGCAACCCAAAGCTCTCCTACGTACGTTAACCTGAAAGTCCCACTCGTAGTTGACTGACCCTTGAGCCCTCAGCCCCTAAAATCCCGAAGCCACCCTACCAGAAGCCCTCTAACCGTCAAACGACTCTCAACCCAAAGCTTCCTACCCTCTGAAATACCCAACCCGCAAACCGACGTGCCTCCTCACCCAGCTGGCGCGCTGCCTCCTTGGCCTCCTCGGAAACTTGGCCCTTGGCATCCCAGAAAATTGCTCAACACAGGGTTTTGGGGGTTAGGGAAATCCCTATAAACCCTAAACCACTTAACCCTAAATCCCTAAACCCTGGGCCATATTGGATTGCCTGCTAGTTTGGGGAGGGTAAACTCTTAAACACAAAGCCCGCCAGCCCTTGCGTCTCCCTCAACTTCGTTTCGACATGACCTTCTCTCGGCATAAGCTGCGGGCTCATCGACAGCAACGCAGTTGCTGGGCTGGGCGGTAAGACCCTTCTGCGCCTGCCGGCACAGAACTTTCCGGGGATCGCTGATACGTACTAGACGCGCTGGATGAGGAAAATAATGCGTATTTCAGGATTAGGAAATGTGTGTGGCTAGCTGGGGTTGTACATGCCTTTCTTCTTGCATTGGTGCGGAACCTTTCGCCTCCTTCCGCTGCCACCGCTGCCACCGCCACGACCGCTGCCAACACCATTGCCAATGCTATTGCCGACACGCCACCACCACCATCACCCCTACCGCCGCCGCCACCGCCACCGACGACTACCGACAACCACCAGCAACCACCACCACCACCAGCGCCACTGTCAGCGGCAGCAGGATGCCATGACATGTACTTAGAACAACGAATCTGCGCAGTGTAAGGCATGCAAGCAGAGGTTTGCCCAATTATGAACTCCTTTATTCCGACGTCCCTTGAGTAAGGATCACGCTTTTGCGGACTAGACTATCCGGATCCCATATTTAGAAGAGGGATGAAGAGGGTGTCCGGAGGACTCCTGGCCCCGAAGCTATGCCCCGAGTCCCGAAGCCACAAGAACCTCGTCTGAGTAGGTGGGAGCCGCTCGTATTTCAACGTCATCGCCGCAGACAACCGTGTAGTGCCTCAGGGGGCTTATGCTTCAGGGTGTACTTATACTTGTGACCGCAACTGCCTGCAGCTTTACAAGTTTTTACCTGCGAATGAGGGGTAGGTACTACTAAACTTGAGGTAATTGGGCTTACCTCTAGAGGTTAGGGTGTTGCCTAATTGACAACCACCATGATGAGACCACATGCTGTTGGGAACTCCGAAGTCGGCATTTGGCATAAGCAACCTGGAGAAGGGAGCTAATGCAAGCGATTAGATGCTTTGTAGCTGGGAGGCTATCAGAACAGTAGCAGCAACCAATAACACAACTCATCTTGCGCTGCTCTCTTCAGCAGATCCTTTTCAAATGACTGGCTTCAAAGTCATCTTCAGAATCAATGCCGGGCGCATCTAACCTGATGTCCGTCCCAAACCTACGGCGGAAGCCCGTTTAAGCCTGCGAGAGTAATACGCGGCTTCGCTCTGCGCTTCGGCAAGGGCTCTGGAAATTCAAGACCACAACAATGGCAGCAGCTTTGTCAGCTCAAGGACTGCTTTCGCAGTATGCTGTGGCTGCTCAGTGGTTCGCAGCGCTTTCCTTGCGTGCGTCACAGCGAACTGGTCCTTATAAGCGGATCCCGGACGCCACCGGACGCCAAGATGAGAAAGTCGACCTCGTCATCCACCTCGATCTTGAAGACGTCGGGCTCACAAATAATGCCCTCGACCTGCTTGCCGCTGTCATAGTCGATGTTCCCGAGCGCACAGGAGATGGCCACGTGATCTCCGACGTAGCCGCCGTTCACCTGAACCCCGAGGGTTCGAAGCCGTTCGGCTTCAGCTGCATTCTTTTCCTGCGCATGGTCTTTGGAGACTGCATGAGCTTTGGTGCCACCAAGCTCATGCAGTCTCCAAGGACCATGCGCCAGAAAAGAATGCAGCTGAAGCCGAACGGCTTCGGACCCTCGGGGTTCA